ATCAAACCTTCATCTTTGAATATTCACATTAAGCTGTGCTTTGTTTCTTTTCAAAATTTTGTTTTCTTCTGGTGTTCTTGAAAGATTTCAGAATTCTATTGTTAATTTTGCACTTTTACAGTACATAATATTCCATTTACTTTTCACAAAGATCCAGTGTCTCTAACTGATTTCATTTTACCATTAAATTGAATTTAATATTAAAGGTTCACTATTAAAAACATTAATGTTATTTATTATAATTAAACATCAATATTTGTTATGCTCAAACCATTTATTAAATTTATGTGTAAACATACAGAACATATCTAATTAGATAGAAGTTGTACTGAACCTACCCTAATATTCCATTCATGTGGATTTCTGTTAGCATTGATCCCTCTTGATACACTAGTATAAACATATATTTGTAGTTTTGTATTATTTATAAAATTGTCTTTTGTCCAAAAAATGACATTTTATACACACATGCACTTGATAAGACACTTTATGCTATATAAGCCTAGAGAAATCAGAGGAAAAATTCCAGAATATTGGAGATTTTCTGACTTAAATTTGGTTAAGCATCTATTTTAACAACAAAAAGGGAAAAATTTCAGTTGGTTTTCTTTCACTTTGATAAAGGAAGCATGGTTCTGTTTTCAGTGCCACCCGTGGTGATAGTCCTCCATGTCCACAACAAAGCACAATAATTTGAAGGATTAGAAAAACTGATCTTGTTCTTGAATGAAATCCTTATAAAATTACATCTTTGCTGAATGGGAGGATGCAGTGCAAAGGTCATCAGAGGTGACCCCTTGTGTAGAAGAGAGGCAGAAGCAGAATAAAATCACTTCTGCAGTTGTTAAAATCAAAGTATGGATCTACATGGCAACTCCATGAATTTTAAAAGTCTTCCTTGTACACAAGCAAAGAACAAGATCTTAGCAGTGGTGCCTTGAAAGGTGATAATTGTAAAGTGAATTTGTAACAGTTCATTTCTCTAAGTGAAATATTAGTCAACTAAATTTTCTGATACAGTAATTCTACAAGCCATAATATAATTCCACAGTTCTTAAGTTCCATTCAAAATTATTTTCTCGTTATTTATGTTACCACCTCATGTGATGTTATTTGGAGGGAAAAAAGTGAGAATGTGCTTGATTTTTTTTAGAGATTAATTAATGCAGGATTCATCTTACCATAATCACCTAGAAGTTTTGTATACAGGTCTGTTTAAGATTTCTCTGGAATCATAGACAGACTTGGGCACAAGAGGTGGGAGCATAGGTAGATGGCATGACTTGTGCAGAAGGGCATTACTCTCTTTCTTGACCAGGAAGAGTAATCCTAGCTTAACTAATTTTCTGGTAAGGCCCTGTCTGTTGGTTGTCATCTAAGGCAAAAGAGAATTTGTAACTCGAGGACCAGTAATATAAATGACAGGTCACTCTGCTTGTCCTCATAAGCAATTAGCAGAGCATCTCAGACAGAATTAAGAGTGTTTAAATATTTTAGGAAGCAATTCATGTAGCACAGTGTTCATTTAGGAAAAAATAACTACTTAAATCTACCCTGAGTGTTATGATTATTGTTATTGCTACCACTAAAAAAAAACTGCAACAAATATATACAAAGACAATTAGAAGAACTGTGCATTAAAATAACCTGACAGAGAGGATAGACATGAAATGCTTTATAAAAATATTAGGATTATGAGTACATCTGTAGCTGAAAATCTTACACCCAGTGGATAAATGTCACACTTACAAGAGTAAGTTTGCCACCATGTTCTATTTGACTGGTGTTCTTGTTTGGATAATACATTGCAGCCTTTTTTTGCTTGTTGCTTTGGAATAAAATATAGAGAATCAAAGAATTTGATCCTCTTGTTTTTAGTATTTTTTCTAGAATCTTGAATTTAAATATTCTTTATAAAATTTCTCTGTCTATAATATGAGGATTATTCAATTATACATCTGTATTACCAACGAATTTTTAAGGTCCATTGCATAGTGTGCATAAAATACAGAGATCCTTTGCTGAAAGAATATAAACATCTAAATATATTTTTTATTATTAATAATCTCTAGCTGGAAAATTTTCTATTAGGGCTAAAGTCTAGATTATAAACATTTAATTCTGTTTAAGAATCAGCTATCTGCTTGGCACCAGAGTCTGCTTTCCTTTTCAGAAGCACTTTGCAAGCTTTATGACTCCCTTTTGTCAATTTCTGAAATATGCTTGCTAGCACAGACCACTTTTTCATTCATTTCACTTAAATGCATTGCAGATTTTCAGGGTATTTACATAAAGTCTCGAATCTTTAACTTTATGATCCATTCTCTATGAGCTCAATTCTCTTTCCTGATATGTGTCATTCCCAGTTTGTTTCATTTATTTCCAATAGATTGGCTAGACATGTAAAATATGCCTCATGGATGTCAATTTTAGCAGAATAGTAGTAGCAGGTAATGGTTAAATAATCACTTTGGATTGCAAATCCATACACTGTCTAAGAGATCACTCCTGCTGAAGGGTAGAAATTACATCCAGGAGAATGCCTGGGCACCTTTCTTCATACAGTATCTCAGGGGAGCTGTAAATTGTCTTCTTAATTAGTCACTGAGTGATGGAAACAAACTCAGTCCTAAAATATATACTGAATTCAGTGCAAGTAGATCCGGGAATTAATTTGGCCAAAAAGTATTCTTTGAAGACAAAGTTCTTTGTCTAGGCAGTGTCCCTTGTGGTGGAGTTTTGTGATTAGGTCAGTCATCAGGCAAAAATTAAAAAGGCATCTAGAGACTGTTAAATTCAGAGGAAATTTCACAGTCTTAGGAATGACATGAAGATGTCTCAGGCTAGGCTTTGATGGCCTTCCCTGACACTGATGGCTCAGTGGAGCAAAAAGAGAACAATGACTTGAGAGTCTGAGTTCAGGGTAAGGAAGAACAGGGACCTGATTAGGTTCCAACTCTCCAGTGGGAGAACATTTTCTGCAGTACTTCAAGGAAAAGGCTGGTGTTTAAAGGTGAATAAAAAAAGGAAGATAGAGAAATCCTGCAGCACTGACTTGGTAATGTGATGTAGCTATGAGATAAAATCTAAAGAAATTATGTTATCTGCCCCTGCTGTTAGGGTCCTGATTATCTAGTAATTTAAACAGAGCAAGTTCTGCCCAGAGACCTGGTAATATTTGCGTAGACATCTGCTGTGGTGGGGAAAAAAAAAAGATTTATTTTCTACTGGAAGGTCTCCTAGGAGAAGGCTGTGCCTAGGTGTGGTGATGAGGGCTGAAGGCAAAGCACAGCTCTGTAGCCAAGGGGGTGGCCCCAGCTGCCAAAATGTGAGCGTGCCTGAGGCTTCAGTCTGGCTGGGCCAGACGTGTTTACACAAGCAATCCCAATCAAAGGATCAGTCATTTTTCAGCAGAAAAGTACCTATTGAAAAATAACTGCTCAACCCTGGATCTCTCACTCTTAGAGAGAGTGAGAAACCTTGAGAAGGTGAGCCTGGGAACTAAAACCCATCACTCCTGTGGATACCAAGTCATGGCCTTGATAAAATTACAGGTTTGTGACATACTTTAATCTTTTTCTCACACCTTCTCATCCTACCTTATGCTCTGCATCTTGCTCTTTGCTTTATGCTATAAAATGCATACAAAATAACCACCTTTGTCTCCTTGTCATAGAAAATAACTACCACATCTCTCCCCTTATTTAAATCCTCCCCATTTCAAGTGTGCAATCTACATTTTTCTCTTGATAATCTAGCTGATAGATTTCCTAAAAATATCAAAACCTGGCATTTAGGTTTTAGGTTTGTTCCTTTTCTTTCAAATTTGAAGGAATGCTTGCCATGCCAGGAAACACATCTATTTTTGTCCTTCAGTAATCAGTAATATATTCCTTTACCTGCAAATGGTTATGTTGCTTATGGTTACGGAAAGATTCAGTTAAGTTTACATTGACATTTGAACAATTTTCTCTTAATAACTTAATATCAGCAGTAGTACAGAACCTTCAATGACAGTCTTGTGTCTTCTCCTCTCCAGGGAGGGAGGCTGGCTGACAAATTGCATTAATTCTATTTTAGTTCTTTTTTGTCTATGTGCTAAAGCATTTCTGTAGACTGCTCTTAACTGTACTTGAATCATGTAGCCTGTCTTAGATGGAGACTTCAACCAAAAGATTATCTGCATAGATTACAGTATTTTCTTCTGCAGTCCAGAGTATACTCATGATCTCATTAATCACATCAGAGAGACATGTAAGATTAAAAGTTATCTAAGTTAAACTTAGTGAGATTTTTCAGAGATAAAAGGCCATGAAATTGAATGTACAGGTGTTGGCAAATTTGCAGTGCTTCCATGAGAAAACAGCTACTGTACAAAGAACATCACTGCCATCAGCAGAAAATCCATCTTACTGGGAGCATCAATAGATTTTGTGCAACTCTGACTGTTCATGCTAATCACACAATGAAACACTTGTTATTTGACTTTCACATGCAATTGATACTACTTCTACAAAATAATCTCTGTAATTATCTGACAAATAAAGGGTCATCTAAGCAGAATTCAATAAATAAAAAAAAAATCTAAGAAAAAATTTGATACTTACCAATTTTGAATTTATTCAGAGGCCAAGAAAGACTGTATTTTTGTTTTCTGCTTTTGTCTTAGTTAATTTCTTTTCCCTCACAGTGTTAAGGGGAGTAATCATGTAAGTAAGTAAGTTCTTAGGTTAAAGATAAAATAAGTAAAGAAAAGATGTGCAGTAAATGGTAATTTATTTTTTCATCCAAATTTAGTCAGATTGTAAATTCTATTTTGAAGCTCAATGAATTTCTTTTTTCAAGTAGAGAGCTGATAACATTGAAAGATATTGTGTTGTGACTCAAAAGAAAAAAAAAAGGGCAGTGCACAGGCCCTTGCTGCATCATTGCAAACAGAGCTGAACTACAGTAAAAAGTATTATTTAAATCAATAGAAATTGATTACTGTAATTACTTACATTTCATGAACTCCTAGATGGTTTGGTCATGGCATGGCTCAAAAGCAAAATGAAATGAGAGAATGTGTGAAAAAGCCCCTCATAGACATTGGAAAGAAAGTGACTGAAAGCAAAGAAAATGCCCTCTGGTCTTTCCTACACTGTAGTGACTCAGTGGAGAAATCTGGTTGAGCAAATGCATAATCAGTTCTGCAGTGAGAATGCCTACTTCAGTGAAACTAGGGCTCAGCAAGCCTCTGTGTTGAGATGTGATGCCTTAGGCAAGCTCCAAGCAATGATTCTATCCTCATATGATTATTCAGGTAAAAAAGAAAGTTCTAAGCAAGGCATGAACAGTCAGAAATATGATTAGTAAAGGAAATACATTTGTATGCAACAATTTAAAGGAGGTCAAAGGGTGCAAGAAGAAAATCTACAAAAGCAGGGTGGAGATGAGAGAAGTACAATATTGTCTTCCCTTTCAAGTTAATAATTAAGCAATACTACAAAAAAAGCAATTAATTAAAATAAAATATTAATATTCCCCATTTGTCCTAATGCAGATAATCAGTAACCTTTGCAGTAGTAAAACTAGAATGAAGAAGAACACTGGCTCTATGACAGTAGAATGGATATCCAAGAGCTATTACTTATTCAGATAATATCCTCTAGTCCTTAGCCAAATTTGAAATTTTTGAACTCGTGTTTTACCTTGCATCCATGTTTGCCTTTCATGAAGGGCTTGTATTGTTGTCTATGCACTGATGTGTTTTTTTATAAACTTCCTATTACCCTTATGATTGGCAATACAAGAGAGACTCCAGTTTCTTCCCTGGAGAAGAAGAAACTGGAATTCACACAACATTTTGTAGACAGCTAGAGTTAGGACTTTTGTTCAACATGTGTTATATTGGACAGTCTATAACGAGAGATTTGTGTGCTGAATTCTGACTATTACAAAGAAAATTTCTGATTTGTGACCTAATTCTACATTTTTAGATCATGAATAATCTCTCTGAAGGTTAGAAGGCCAAGCTGTATGTTTGTGGAGACGAAACTTCTTGAGAATAAGCTTTGGTCATTTTCTTGAGAAACAGCTTACCTGCAGTCTGTACTAGACTTCAAAAAGTCTAGACTTTAAAAAAGACTATACAAAATTATCCCAGTATGGAGATTTTTTGTCTTCAATTAATTAGGTTTAGAAAGCTAAAATTCCCATGTAATCATTGTTATTATGTTTCATTTTGACCTTTGTTGGTTTATAAATTTAGGTGCAGAGAAAAACACTGACACAGCATTGGAATTTGAGGAAGGAACTAGAAAAATTAACTTTATATAAATAGCTCTACACCTATTTTGATCGTGAGTAATAGAACTGTTAAGGAAAGAGAATTGTCTAGCTACTGATATTCAATTAACTTATTTTTTAAAAATTAAAATATAGTACTATTTGCTACTTTAAACTATTTTATTGGGGTAAATAAGAAATTATTTTTCAGTGTTTCTTAGCACTAAAGATGAAAGGCTTAATTTCAATGAACAGTGAATTAAACTTTTATCAATACTTCAGAAAATCATTTAAGTGAAGAATATAAGTCAAACCATATGACAACACAAAATCCCATCTATAAAATCAGAGAGACTATTTGGAAATAGACCAATTAATGAGAACCATCTTATATAAAACTTCAGTTGTGTTTTTTCTCTCTGTCAGGATTATCATATTTTGCCTCTTCAAGTAAGGAGTTTGCATTTATTTTATTGCTTGAAGGAAGAATTTATTAAGTGTTTCAGGCTACCATATCTTTTTAATATGGAAGTACAAGATAACATGGAATGACTAATATATTTTTATGTGCTATGTTGGAACACAGAAATGACTGAGCTGTGTCTGACCAAGGGCCAGGTACGTCAGCTTTTGAAAGAAGTATCAAATGATCTTTTTTTCTGATGTAGCCTCTAGCAGCACAGGCTGCAAGATTTATTCCATTCATGATGAAGAAACAATGCTGCTTCATTCAGTTAATTGCTTTGCTATTTTATTGTTTTCCTTCATGAAATGAAAGCATGTCAAGCAATTAAAATATTCCAGTAGTAGTCATTAGTTATGTTTTATTTCTATCTTATTTGCTTGCCAAAGAAACAACCCGTACCTTCCCAAGCCTAGCTGAATTGAGAAAATTATTCTTTCCTTCCCTTGGTTAACTAGTCTTTGTACTAATATCTCAATGTTTTAATACTAATTTTATTCATTCATATGAAGTAAATATTAATAAATAATAGCTCTTTTCTGGTGACAAAAAATTGTTACTTGGTACCAAAAGGCTGAGGGTTTTTTTTCTTTTTCATATACAACATCACTGAGATCTTTCTTTCGAGACAAAATTGAAGCATTAAAACTTAGTTGCAAATTTGTAGGTTCTGAAAGCATTTATTTATACTGAATAGATTGCTTTGTTTTTAAGTATTCTTTTAAATTCAATTTTTTAAAAAAAATTAAAATTTGAATAATAAGGACATAATCTCTTCTGTTATTTTCTATCTTTAAAACTACTTTGTTTTACTGTATTTGATGATGTAATTACATCAGGATGTAAGGATGATGAAATATAAATGAAAGAAATCTTCAGTGTGTGTTATTTTGCTAGTGATATTGTGATATTGGTACATTAGTTCTCAGGCTTTATTTTGAAATATTCTAACTTTGTCATAAGTAAGGCACATAAAAGTTATATAAATTTATATAAGGATTAATTTAAAACAGTGTAAATGATTTCTAGAAAATAACAAATATCACTATGTGATAACTAAACAGCTGTTTTTAATAGTGAGAGAAACTGAACAAAAACTAATAACATCCTCCTGAAAAAACTTCTGGGTCCTTAGTATATTTCTTTCAATTTTTAGGACTTTTGAGGATTTATAAAAGACAGGTAGTCTCAATAAAAAGAAGAAAAAAAAGGAAAAGTCAACACCACCTTTCAGGCATTTTAAGCTTTAGAAAAGTGGGTTTCTTTCTCCTTGCAAAAAGAAGCAAGTGAACACGAACTGGTTTTAGAGTGTATTTTTATGACAGTGACAGAACACTTCTCATTGCTTCTTATTCCTGAGCCTAATATTTTCACAGCTTTAAAGAGAGAAGTCCTTCTTAAAATAGATACTTTGGAACACATTGCTTTAGCTGTAGTGTACTCTTTAACAAAAGACATTTTTCAAAAGTGCAAAGCATTCTCATTTTTGATAAAGGAATTGTATTGTGAATTCCTTTTTTCAGTCAGTGCTCTTCAGATTTACTGTGTGACATTTATAGGGCTTACTACTTGCTTTGAAAATCATCCATGCAATGTTTTTTTCAAAGCCATATTACAATAGTTAATACTTGGGCACAATCTTCAAAATAAAATGCAAAGAGTAATGATATACAGTTTAAATGCAAATGTTTGCTGAGTTTCAGGTTCTCTGTAAATCTGCTCTCTTTGCAGTCAGCAACAGGTACAACTCTTAGAATTGTCACTGTGAATGCTTTGTGTATATAAAACTTAATGAAAAAAAAAGAAAATTTTATTACTATCACTATAAGCACAATAGAAATAATCCTAAATATCACCTGAATTCTTAAATAAGAGTTGCTGAAGCAGAGAGAGAGTAAGGAGGCTTTTATGAGCCTTATTGATTCAGATTTGTACTTTGCTTTTTTTTCTGGTGGCAAATAAGTTTCCCATTTGACTTTATTTAAAATTGTTAACTCACCCTCTCACCTGAGGGGATAAAGCCATGAGTACGTGATGCTCTGAAGCCTCATTCTCTTTAGTGTCTTTGGCTGTTGGAACTGACATTTGTTGACTGTCAAAGTCTAAAGGGACAGCATAAAATCAAGAGAGCCTTTCACCTTCTGGCCACTGTGGAAGAGCCTAGATGCAGTACAATAACATTGTAAGAATATATATTCTGATAAAAGATTGAACCACTGGTGACAGTGCCTAATCTCACAGTGACTGTGACCTGTAAAGAATGTATGTTTCATTTTCTGTAAGAAGTCAAAATTATTTCCTTTCAAGTGAAGATGAATGAGTTGCTCAAGTGGAAGAAGAGATTCACAGACCACAAGGACAAGACACATCCTATTTATAGTGTCTAACTTTAAAGACTTTTTGGGTGATGACTACAAACCCCTCAGACAGAGTAGAGGATTGGCTACCAAGGTAAAAGAGAGACAAAAGCAGCAGAGTAGGCTGGAGAGGAAAGCACGTTTTGCTAGGAATTAAATTAGATTACTTCAAAAACTGTCATGTATCACAAAAACACTCCTCTGACAAAACCAGTACTCTGCCAGCTTCTGAATTGTAGCTCCTTAGCTGTGTGTTTGAGCATGCTTGAGTGTCTTCATTAGACACTGTATAAGGTAGACTTGATGGTCCTGCAAAGCTGTTTCATTTTAATTAGTACACTTGTTACACTAGTACCCTTGTGCCAACCATAGCCTTCTGCTTTCTCTCCATTGGTTTCCTGACTGCTCAGTTCCTCTTGCTCACCTATTTATTGTTTGTTTGCAGTCTTTTTTTGCAATATAGTAATATCTAAACCACGGATCAGTGCCAATGCCCTACCAGCACTACTGTCAGAAGTTATGTGATTTTTTTTTCTCCATCTCCTTATCCCCTTCCTACTGCTGACACAAAGTTTTGTACAGCCAGCAGTTAAAACAGGTTAAAATATCTCACGTTAAAATCTATGAGATGAGTTTTTAAAGGTAGTGAGAACCTCAACATACACTTAAACGTGGTCATCTTTTGAAAATGTTATTTTTGTCTCTCTAAGATTAATCATCTTTCACAATCCAGACTTTAGTTTCATAATATGCAAAAGTTTAATATTTGACTTTTGCCTCTACTGTTCATTCTGCCTATAGCCTGGGAGAGAAAATGTACATGTCTCCTGCAGTACATAGATGTACTGTGCTTAAAATTAATGCTTAGAGAGCTATGTTTTACTATTTTATTTTATTTCAGTTTATTTTGTTTTGTCAAGATTTTCAACCATCTTTATATTTTAGCTACAGTAGTTTTGTTAAACATTGTTTAAATCAACAGTTCTATGCACATTACACTGCACTGAAGCCTGTTAAATGTTGGAGTCCATCACAATATATCTCATGTCACATTACAT